ACACGTACATTAGCTCGTAAACCCCACCCCCTCCCCGCGTCCTCCTCCCCCGCCCCTTCTCCAGGCTCCAATCAGAGGCCCCGCCCCGCGTGCTCCCCCCCCCCCCGGCACCCCCCCCCCCCTCGCCTTGCGCCCCCCCACGAACCCCGTAACGAGCGCGTTCGAGAATGCGCAATGAATGGAGGCGGAGGAAGGCGCGGGCGCGTTCATTACGAGCAGCGCCCAGACGACCCGGCGCGCGGGGGGAGGGGGGGTCGGGGGCGATAAGAAAGAGATGGAGAGGGGTCCAGAGGGGAGACGGGGGAGAGGGGAGAGCAGTGGGGACAGGAGATAGATTGGGTGGGAAGAGCGGAGACGGGAAGAAAAATGGGGGACGAGATGGGAGACGGGAGAAGAGAGACTCGAGATGAGGCCGGGAGACCGCGAAGGGAGCACTGCGAGGTGGAGCGATGGAGAGAGGAGAGATTGGGGTAGATGGGGGAGAAGATGGGATGGTATTCGTGGGGAACAGAGACAAGAAGAAGACGACGATAGAGAGGTGAGACGGGAAAGGAGCATGCGGAGAGAGGGGGGGGGAGAAGGGAGGGAGGCGACAGTTCTAGAGGAGAGCAGTGCGAGGAGGGAGACTGGAGGGGAGACGAGGGAGCGATTGAGAGAAGAGACCCAGGAGGGGATCTCGACCAATCATCATTACTCACAAGCTGTCAAAAAAGAGTACCACTTTGTTGTTCTATGGATAGACTGGCCGCTGTCATGGGAATGTGGAATTTTCACCGCTGGGTCAGGGCCAGGAGTGTTGATGCGACGTCGCCCCGCGTTCGTGCGAGCGGGGAGAGTCCACGCAGCTCGCGCGGTCACCACCTCACTCCTCGCTGTGCCGGCAGCAGCAGCTGATGATGATGAGCCAACTCATCGACACGAGGCATCGCACACACACCAGGCAGTTACACGGCATGGGCTCCAGCAAGCCTGAACCTGCTGATGAGACGCTGACTGTCCAAACCGGGCCAGGGGGGGTTTGATTGTGTTGAACCAATGCTACCCAAAGTACGCACGCCCAGAAGGCGGTGTGGCCGATACAAATGTACAGACATGTGACGGAGACATCGTCTGCTGGGCTGCTGCGTTACTTCTCAACACGGGGAGATCGAGAAGGGGGGGGGGGGGCTACAGCCCCGCCGCTCATCCCGCCTTGTGCGCGTGTGTCAGTGAGTGATGGGGCAATTATGGAGAGAGTGGAGAAGTTTCCATACCTGAGTAGTGTCCTTATGACCATCTCCGGTCTGGCAGCAGAGATCTCCGAATCAGTCGAGTGGCATTATATCCTTTCATCGGCTGCGTAACGCTGTGTGGAAGCTGTTTGCTCTATCTCTCCGTAAGAAGCTCCGTGTCTTCTCAGTCACAGTTATGCCCTCCCTGAAACGTTTAGGTTGGCCTGCCGAAGATCCATCTTAACCAGGCTGGATTGTGCGAGCTCACAGATTGTGCGAGCTCACAGGAAGATCTGGTGAGCTTCTCCAGCAGGCGAGGCTGCGTTGGCTGGGTCGTGTAGCCCGCATTCTCAGCCACGGCCTGCCCAAGAAGCTCATGTTTCGCCCCATAGAGGTGGTGCACGGGCTAGAGAAGAGATGGACTGATGTGGTACAGAAGGATATGGAACTGAGTGGACTTACCGATGACTGGTACCAGCGGTGTCAAGATCGGCCTCTGTGGAGGAGGCTCGTGAAGGACGCTACTGGGCAGTTGGAGGCAGTCGCCCTCCAACAACAACGGAGGGCGGAGGAGCGACGCTCACAACAACGAGCGGAGCGCCGGGTGGCTAAAGCACAGCAAGTTGGTACAGTAGGGGGCACAGGTGGTGCATCAGCCAGTCATCTCGGTCATCTCGGTCAGTCGACCCGTGGCACCTGGGTCTGCCCCGTGACCTCCTGCCAGCGGGCGTTCGACACTTCACGTGGCCTCAAGGTGCACTTGGCCTGGCACAAGCATCGTGGTGACGTCACCGCCACTTAGTGGCGAATGGCGGTTGTTGTTGTCAGTGTGAGTGTGTGTGCGTGTGTGTGTGTGTCAGTGTGTGTGTAAGTGTGAGTGTGTGTGTATCAGTGTGAGTGTGTGTGTCAGTGTGAGTGCGAGTGTGTCAGTGTGAGTGTGAGAGTGTCAGTGTGAGTGTGTGAGTCGTCAGGCCGTGCTGGTGTTGGTGGCGTTGATGGAGGAGAGGAGGTCCCTCGTGCGCCTGCTGAGAGACCACTCCAGTTCCCTCCCCCTGGGCAGGGGGGCAGCTGTGCCTCCCCTCCAACCCTCGCCCCATACCGCACCGCACACCTCACCACACACAGCTCACCTCACCACGCACAGCTCACCTCACTCCCATTACGCCGCATACCACACCACGCAGACCTCACCTACTTCGACATACCCCACACAGCACCCCCGACTCACCTGACCCCGCACACCAGTATACACACTCACATCGCGCACACCGCCACACACCCCAGCGCACACCCCGCACACACGCACGCAGTGTTCCGCCAGATGGCGGTCACTGCTTCCCGGCACGATCTCTGTCCTCTGCACCCCCCTCCCACCTCTTGTCCTGTCCCTCAGGGCCCCCTGCTCACCAGCCCCCCCCCCCCCACGGCCCCTTTCCCCATGGTTGTCAAGAGGTCAGTAATTTGTGTTGCTGCCCAAGAAGAAGTCACGTGTTCCGTGGCCGCTGTCGCTCGGAGACCAATTAACCCCGGGCTCGCGCTAATCACAACTCGGGACGGATAAACTCTCGTGTCACCCTCACGACATCGGCCCCGTTAACACCAACACACAGATGTGGCGACATGACTCAGGACGGAATATCTACTATATTCTCGAAACCATCACCCTCGCATCATCAACATCGCACCATCACCATCGCACCATCACCATCATCACCCTCGCATCATCAACATCGCACCATCACCATCGCACCATCAGCATCATCACCATCGCACCATCACCATCATCACCATCGCACAGCGACTACGATGCCTCGGAATCTCCAGGCGCTGCACGTCACCCCCCCCCCCCTCTCTCTCTCGCGTCAATGGTCATATCAAGAGGAGAAGACCCCTCCTTGAAACAAAACAAGTCTGAGGACGCAGTGAGGCTTCGCTGGGTTAGTAACGGGTTAATAATCCGTGAGAGTACACGTGAGGCGTTGGGGGCTTGAGGTGGCGGCACTCCCTCGAGGCCTGTGACTAAGCCGGGATCTCGAGTGGACGACCGTCTCGGCCCAGCCACGAATGACGGGGACCATCAACACCGCTGCCACCCACCCGAGTCGGTAGCGACATTCCAGCTCTGCCTTGAAAACTCGCCTCTCTCAAGTGGTCTTCACCCCCCTGGCCCTGTGTACCCCGCAGCTTCATTTGTTTTCTACTTTACATACACGTGGCGCATTGCGAGCTACCGATGAAATGCGACTTACAAATGTGCATTATTATTACTTAAATTGCTTTTGCATTTTATTTGTGGCAACCCGCTGTGCTGCCGAACAGAGGTTACGTGAAAGGCTCTCAGAAGTCATTCCGTGAAATCTTCTTCCGCGGGCCGTTCTGACTCACACGAAGGGGGCTGGAGGGGGGGTCGCACTGCTGTGCGAGATTTCCGAACGGATTCCTCCTCGTCTCGTGATGACGCAGGGGAGCGAGCATCATCAGGAGAGAGACACAGAGACAGAGAGGGGGGGCGAGGTGAGAGTGGGGGTGGTGCTAGCGGGTGACGCTGGCGAGGGGTGGAAGGAGTCGCCCCGTCGCTGCCCGAGAGGGCGCGCGGCTCCGGTGACGTCACTGAGCTGATGGGCGATGATTGGGCGCCCACTTCGTGAACCCGCCACGGTGGAAATTCCACATTCTGATGACAGGAACCAAACTAGCACAGGGCGACCTACAAAGTGGCTTTATCAACCCCGAGATATGTTGATGATGATTATAGAAATAATGAACTGTTGATGTTGTGTATGATTATGATGGCCTGCTGCTGCTGCTGATGATGATCATATTAATACTATTGATGGATGAATAATGCATTGAATGATGATGATTGACTGATGGTGATCATTATGCTGATTATGAATTCATGCCGATGAGCTGAGCCCACCATAAACTGGGATGTGAACTTATCATCCTCCAGTTCCCGGATCTCTGGGCACAGGACTCTGCAGCCCCATCATCATCATCATCAGCGCATTCGCTCCCAACATCATCATCATCATCAGCGCATTCGCTCCCAACATCATCATCATCAGCGCATTCGTTCCCAACATCATCATCATCATCAGCGCATTCGTTCCCAACATCATCATCATCATCAGCGCATTCGTTCCCAACATCATCATCAGCGCATTCGCTCCCAACATCATCATCATCAACGCGAGGGCTGCCCGGTCCAGACCTCCAAGGGCGGCACTCGCGCGCGTTGTAACGCGCGCCGTTCGTTTCGCAGTTTGTTTTCGTTGTTAATATTTAATCTGCATTAATTGCCTGCGTCGCCACTGCAATGTAAATGCAAATCGTACCGGTAATTACCGGCTAATTGCTTCTCTGTGCTGATGAACGGTTTTCATTGGGCTTCGTGCTGTAATTGACGACCGGGATGCACGTGTCCCTGGCTGGGCGGGGCCAGGGGCGCGAGGGGGCGGGGCTACCCGTCGAGGGGCGGGGCTCCACACCCGAGGCGGCTTCACGGTAATTTTCGCCGCCCGCCGTGATTGGCTCCCCGAGACGCGGCTACACGGTACGAGGCTCGTGATTGGGCCGCCCGGTGCACGGGTGGGACTGGGGTGCGCCCCCCCCCCCGCCGTAGCCCCGCCCACACCCCCCGTGACCCCGCCCCTCTATGGCCCCGCCCTCGCGGGGCACGCGAAGCTCGCGCGCCGGGAGCCGCCACTCACTCGGGCCCGGACGCGAACCCGGGAGGATCGCGGTCAGCAGCGCGGTCCGCCGACTCGTCTCCTATCGCCTGCCCCCCCCCCCCCCCCCCGGGGTTCAGTCGAGTCGCACGACTCCGTTGCAGAGGAGACCCCCCCCCTATTCGAGACCCCCCTATTCGGGACCCCACCGCTCCCCCCTGTCCCGCTCCACCCCTTGGCCGCTCCGTCTCTGCGCTCCTCGATTCGCGTTCCCTCCGTCTCTGCGCTCCTCCGTCCGTGGACTTCCCCGTCTCGGGGCTCCTCCGTCTGTGAGTTGCTCCATCCGTGAGCTCCTCCGTCCCCCCCCTCCTCCTCCTCCCCCTCCTCTTGCGTTCTCCTCGCGTCGCGATGGGAGCGCTGCCGCCGCTGCTGCTGGAGGTGATGGTGGTGATGGTGGCGCTGGTGATGGTGTTGGTGTCTCCGAGCTGCCCGTCTCCGCTGGAGGGAGGGGGCCACGAGGCGGCCCCGGCCGTGGCGGGAGGCCGCCACGCCGTCTACTGGAACAGCAGCAACCCGCGGTGAGGCTAAGCCCAGCCCCCCCCCCCAGCCGCCTCCCCCGTGCCGTGATGGAGGAAGGTGATGTTGCTGGTGATGTTGCTGGCGATGTGTGCTGATGGTTGTCGGGGGGATGGTGATGGGAGGCTGGTGAGGAGGTCTGATGATGATGATGGGGTATGTGGAAGAGGTGACGAAGCTTCATTGGAAGTGGTGGGTGTCAGAAGATGCGTTCATAAGTCGAGGGATTGTGATGGGGCATGGTGAGGAGGTGATGGTACTGTGATGGGTGGGAGATGATGGGGGGAGGGTGATGAGGAATGTAGAGGGATTGATGGGGCCTGGAATGGAGACGACGCCGGGCGAGGGTGTGGGGGGGTGAGGAGGTCTGGAGGGGCGGTGAAGGGGGTCGGTGGAGGACCCGGTCCCCAAGGGGACGCGTCTGCTGTTGTTCTTGCTGTTGTTCTTGCTGCTGCTGCTGGTGTTGTTGATGTTGTTGTTGCTGCTGTTGTTGTTGAGACGCCTGCGAGAGGCGCCGGCTTGGGTGGGGGACGAGAGGCGGGGGGTCGTGGGAAGCTGCGGGAGGCGATCGAGGAGTGTGATGGTGTGTGTGTGTGTGATTGTGTGTGTGTGGTGTGTGTGTGATTGTGTGTATGATGGGGTGTTTGTGTGTGTGATGGTGTGTGTGTGTGTGATGGTGTGTTTGTGTGTGTGATGGTGTGTTTGTGTGTGTGATGGTGTGTTTGTGTGTGTGATGGTGTGTTTGTGTGTATGATGGTGTGTGATGGTGTGATGGTGTGTGATGGTGTGTTTGTGTGTGAGATGGTGTGTGTGTTTGTATGATGGTGTGTGATGGTGTGTTTGTGTGTGTGATGGTGTGTATGTGATGGTGTGTGTGTGATTGTGTGTTTGTGAGTGTTTGTGTGTGTCATTGTGTGTGATTGTGTGTGTGGGGAGCGGTGGTGCAGCGGTTAGCGCGCTGCACTACGAACCCGGCGACCCGAGTTCTTCCCACTCACGGCCAACACCAGTGGCGATTATCTGAACCGGTCCTGGGCCTCATCTAGGTCGACTCGGCCTCAAATGAGTACTGGGTGCGATATGTAAACATCGCCACGAGGGAGACAAAGGCGGCCTTGCGTGGTTCTGGCCACCCACCCCCGTGTCGGCCTTCTTAGGTGCTCGTTAACAGCCCTTGCCCCAACAGTCTGGTAAGGCTTGACGGGGGATCTTTGTGCGCTGCTGCTGTGCATGCCTGCGTGCGTGCGAGTTGGTAAGTGTATGTGAACCTTTGTGCGTGAATAGGTATCCGTGAATGGTGTGTGAGTGTGTGTGTGAGTGCGTGTGTGTGTGAGTGCGTGCGAGAGTGGATGAGATGGGATGGTGTGGTGAGCGCGTTTGAATGAGTGTGCGTCTTTGTTCGCCAGTGTGTTTGTACAAGTGTGTGAATGTGTGCGAGTGATTGTGAATGGAAGTGATTGTGAGTGTGTGTATGAATGGGTGTGTCCGCATGAATGTCTGTGCATGTGATCGCAGGCGCGTGTCTGTGTGTGTGTTAGTGTGGGGTCCGCTGGCGGAGTGGGTAGCGCACTGCACTACGAACCCGGCCATCCGAGTTCAATTCCCACTCACGACCAACATCAGTGACAGCGAATAGCTGAACCGATCTTGTGCCCTCCCCTAGGTCGACTGTCTTAATGGAGTATCTGGTACAGTGTGCAAACATCAGCGCTGGGAAGACAAAGGCGGCTGAACATAGTATTTGCCGACGTGTCGTGCCTGCCTTAATAGGTGCTCGCTGACAGCATTTGCCCCGACAGTCTGCTCACGGCTCTCGGCTGGGTGGCGCTGTGTTGTCGGTGTGCAGGGCGACGCGGCGTGCCTACCGAGTGTGTGTCGGGGGGCCGCTGGCCCGGGGCCCACGGCCGCAGGGCCCCACGGGCCGCAGGGCCCCAGACGCCTCGCAGGGCCCAACCCCAACCACGCTCCGCCACCGCCGCCCGCGTTGCGTGTGTGTGTGTGAGATTGCGGGGAGCGGTGGCGCAGTGGTTAGCGCACTGCGCTACGAACCGGGCGAACCGAGTTCTATTCCCCGCTCACGGCCAGCAGCAGCACCAGTGAGGGCTGTCCGAGCCGCTCCTGGTGTCGTGTGGCAACATCAGCCAGGTGTGATCTTGACCACTCCGTCCTACCCACCCCCGCCGTGCTGGCCTTCGTAGGTGCTCGCTCACAGCGCTTGTCCCAACGGTCTATAAGTGTGCGATGACTATGGTTCATTGCCCGAAACGTTGTCTATTATATTGTTTCCTTTAAAGGCCACAATGTGATTGAAGAACGTTTTGAGGATTTGTTATAAAGCTATCGGGAAGACGGGTGTGTGGTGTGCGCCCGTGTGGGGGGTGCGCGCGTGTGGGGGGTGTGCGTGGGGTGTCGGTGCGTGTGTGAAAGTGTGTGTGTGGTGCCTACGGTTTGTGTGTGTGAGTCTTTGTGGTGTGCGTGTGTGACTATTTGCATCTACGTGCTTATCGTGTTGCATCATCGCTAGCCCTTTGCTCTTTACAATGTCTCCATCAACCCCGGGAACAATCGGCGTGTGCGGCCATGCGTGTAGCTGCACACGAGTACATTGTAGCTGTGCGTGTGTGAGAACACGCGTATCTACATGTGTATCCCTCGGTATGTACGTGTCTATATGTCTGTGGGTACACATACGTACACGTCTGTGTAGACACGCGTGTGGACCTGTGCAAGTACCCGCATGCCCCTACCTGTGCACACACCTGTGCGTGTACCGTGGCTGGGGGCACTGGATTCGCGAATTCCAGCGCGGTGAGGTCACTCTGCTTCCGCTCCTCGCCACCCTCGCCCCGGACCCCGCAGCCCCCCCCCCCCCGCGGGTTCGCGTCCGCGCGCGGCGGGCGATGTCCGTATCAGGCGCAATGAGGAAATCACCACCACAATCACCACCACCACAATCACCACCACCACAATCACCACCACCACAATCACCACCACCACAATCACCACCACCACAATCACCACCACCACAATCACCACCACCACAATCACCACCACCACAATCACCACCACCACAATCACCACAATCACCACCACCACTACCACAATCACCACCACAATCACCACCACAATCACCACCACCACAATTACCACCACAATCACCACCACCACAATTACCACCACAATCACCACCACCACTACCACAAGTACCACTACCACTACCACAAGTACCACTACCACTACCACAAGTACCACTACCACCACCACAATCACTACCACCACTGCCACAATCACTACCACCACCACAATCACCACCACCACAATCACCACCACCACAATCACCACCGCCACAATCACCACTGCCACAATCACCACTGCCACAATCACCACTACCGCAATCATCACTACCACAATCACCACCACCACAATCACCACCACCACAATCACCACCACCACAATCACCACCACCACAATCACCACCACCACAATCACCACCACCACAATCACCACCACCACAATCACCACCACCACAATCACCACAATCACCACCACCACTACCACAATCACCACCACAATCACCACCACCACAATTACCACCACAATCACCACCACCACTACCACAAGTACCACTACCACTACCACTACCACAAGTACCACTACCACAAGTACCACTACCACCACCACAATCACTACCACCACTGCCACAATCACTACCACCACCACAATCACCACCACCACAATCACCACCGCCACAATCACCACCGCCACAATCACCACTGCCACAATCACCACTGCCACAATCACCACTACCGCAATCATCACTACCACAATCATCACCACCACAATCACCACCCCCACTACCACAATTACCACCACCACTACCACAATTACCACTACCACAATCACAATCACCACCACAATCACCACAATCACCACCACCACAATCACCACCACCACCACAATCGCCACGACCACGACAACGTGCTGCCGTGTCGTGAGTGAGTGCGAGCGCGGTGATCGGAGTTCGATTCCCGCTCACGGCCAACACCACCACTGACGATTATTTGAACCTGTCCTGGGACCCTCCCCGAGGTCGACTCGGCCTCAAATCATTACCCCGCGTGGTGCGTAAACAGCGCTGGGGAGACAGCGGCGGTTGCCTGTGGTGCTGGCCACCCAGCCCCTCGTGTGCCCTTCCGGCCTTCATTGGTGCTCGCTTAGAGCACTTGCCCCAACAGTTTGTTCAAGGCTACACGGGGGGTCTTTGTTCTATGAGTGTGTGAGCCCTGCGAGTCGGGGCAGGGCTGATGGCGCCCACAGACAGGCGAGATTAGCTCGTGGTGGGGAGGAGACAGTGGTGATGGTGGTGGTGGTGTTAGTGACTGGGGTTCGGTAGTAATGGTAGTGGTGTTAGCTGATGGTGTTAGTGGCGAGGGATGTGTCGCGGTGATGATGGTGGTGATTATTGGTGATGGTGAAATGAGGTGGTTGTGGGATGGTGATGATGGTGTGGGGGTAGTGATGGGGGTGGTGGGGCCTCTGGAGATTTGAGGTTGAGGAGTCGGGGGAGAGGTCATGGAGGGGCGGGGGGCGGGGCTAGGGGGGCAGTGCGAGTGAGTGGATTTTGGGAAACGCGATATGAGAAGGCGATGATGGACGGGGGTGAGAGGGGTGGGAAAGGGGAGGTGTGTATGGGGGGGGGGGGGTAAAGTAGGGGGAGCGGTGGCGCAGCGGTTAGCACGCCGCACTACGAGCCACCCGAGTTCAATTCCCACTCACGACCAACAACCGTGAGCACATATTTGAACCGGTCCTGGGCCTCCCCTAGGTCTACTCAGCTTTAATTTAGTATCTGGTGCGATATGTCCATATCATCACCATTGGGGACACAAAGGCAGCCGGGCGTGGTGTTGGCCATCCACCCCCTCGTGTGCCTTCAAAGGTGCTCACGAACAGCACTTTGGGGCCATCCATTTAGTAGGTACGCATTGAGTGGGGAGAGGGG